ATCACTGTTACTAAAAATGTAACCGTGGCATTGATTACAATATTTACCATAGTTTGTAGTCAATTTCAGTGAGTAATACAACTTCATTCGCTGACATAAAACAAGTTTTATTCTTGAAATTCGACCCTGTGTCTTAGTGTTCCCACAGATCTTGACCGAGTGCTCACGTTTATTGAAACCTTGCATAAATCAAGAAGTAAGTACGTGTACAAAGTGTACGAAAGCATTCCTTTATTTGACCTTATCATACAATCACAAAAACAACTTTTTAAAATCTTTTTTGGGGTGGTCCTCGGGTAAGCGCCCACCCCAAATTTTTCCCGATTTTGTACATTCAGGCCCCTGGGCGCGTGCCCGGGGTAATACGGTATTTATATTTATTGTTTTATTTTATTATATGATTAACTCTTCTCTTCTTTCCAATCAATCAAAATAATAGAGATTGGAGTCCCATCAATGATTACACAAAACTAATTTGTATTTCCTCAGTGTTTTCATACCAAGACATGCATGTTAGAGCAATCTCTGCTAATACAAGTGAATTGGTTTATGAGATAATGAATACAAAACACAGTATGCTGGATACAAACAAGACTTACCAATTTTTAATTGAGTTGTCAAGATACTGTCAAACTTGTGCGAGTCTTTAACTAGGGGAACTTTCCAAATGACAGCATTGGTCCAGGCTTGACTCAGTGAATAAATAAGGGTTTCTTCATTCACTCTCAACTCAGTCTGAAGTTAAAAGGGTACAATTATAAACATATAGCCATGAACCAAAAATGATGTTAGTTTGCAAAGTAAAATGAAATGGTCATCATACAGCCATGAACCAACCCACCAATGGTGTTACTTTGCAGGGTAACGATAGTCAATAATATTTTGAGGGTTAGAGCGTCATAAGTCACGTACAGATTTCTCCTTTAAAAAGAATATCAACATCATGCAAAGAAAATGATATCATGAAAACTTACTTCTAAACATTTCACAATTTTCATTTTGCATGTTTTCCCATATTTCAAATGTTTCATTTGCTCTTGCTACAAAAAAATAAATAAATGATATTATGCTTGTACAAGATGGATACATGTTTATTCAAATGGATACAATTACTAAACTAGTTGACATAAAAATAGGGTGAAATCTGTCAGGAAAGGAGCACCGAAGGAATAGACAAAATTGTTTATTTTAGTATATATTAGTATATTTTATAGAAGCAAATCTATAGAGAATAGAAATGGATTATGGCTCATTGGACTGCACCATTTGGTAGCATATATTGGTGATTCAAGTGGATATCTCATAGTGTATATACCACACGTTTCAATTCCACATATGTGATAATACTCACCAATAAAGACAACAGATCACATGCTTTCATATATTCTTGCTCTTTTAGTGAAGTTGAGAAATTCTGTAATGCTTCATCAACCTGTCCAAAACAGACAAATAATGTTCATTCAACGACTTTTGTGAAATTTCATCATCAATAAATGCCTTTTAAGGGATCAAGCAAATAATGAAAATTAAATATAACAGTCATAACGTTGGGGCAACTAAAGTCAAGAAATAACAACATATGAACGAATGTGATGTTTTTTAATTGACACAACTGTTTACGAGAACAATGCTTTTTAAATCTTGTTTTTGGAACATATCCAATGTAGTATGAGACATCAACATTGTTGTATGCTCCACGGAAAATAAATGACAAAAACAAATTGTGTCAATATTATGATTTACTTTTGATTTGACACTCAAATAAGTCGCTTCATCATCAGTCAACAGATTCTCATATTCATACAAGAGTCAACTTTCATATTCCACAAAATAAGCCTACTCAAGACCTGTAGTAAAAGGCTAATTGGTACAAAATTAACACAGAAATCATAATTACAATATAAAACTGATGCTGTAACTGATATGTTATCACTGTTGAGTGAATCACAATGAAATGTCCACTAGTCTACTGGAATTAATTTTCGCTGAAGGAATGATTCAGTGAAAACAAGTCATTGAAAATGACAGTTCCCGTTAAATTTTTGAAAGTTTTCTTTGTGCTCGTCATATTAAAGTGGAGGGGTTGTCGCGAGTGTGTCCTTGAAACTTGAGACTCAAGTGGTGAATACAGCAGATTGTTTATTTACATCAAATTGAAACACGTGTTGCATGACGACCCCTCCGGTTTAAGACATAGCAAAGAAAAACATAGATCACAAGTGAAAGCATGTCCAAGTTATCACATTTTAAACAAACAAGATGGCTGCCAGTCAGCCATATTTGATCAAATTGCAAACTGAATTGACATGTACATGTATCCATTTATGACATACTAAATATCAATGAAAATGATACATGGGTGACAGAGATATAGTAATATGGCCAAAAATAAAAACAGCAATTGTTCGGGCATCTTTGAACTGATTATGAAACAAAGTGACATGTATGATGTATGTGCCAAATATGAATGAAAATGGTACATAAATCTTGGAAATATAGTAGTAAGGCCAAAGATTCAGATGGCCATCCTTGATCCGATTTTGAAACAAATTGTCATGGACATGTATCCTAACATGTATAAAGTATGTGCCAAATTTGAATAAAAACTGAAAAAGCATGTCCAAAATACAACATTTTAAAAAGCAAGATGGCTGCCAGTCGGCCATTTTGAATCGAATCGCTAAACCACTGCATGTGCATATGTTCCACATAAAGTACTAGGCACATACATTCAACTTTTCAAAAATCAGTGAAAATAAATTCCATACAAAACACTCAAAAAGTCTTTTCAGCAAAAATAAATTCCAGCTAAAATAAAGTATTCTACAGTACTATTTTGAATTTTATCTGCAAAACAAAGTGACATCTACCAAGGTTCTATAATATCTAATGTACCAAGTTTGAACGTAATCCATACATGTGTGACTGAGATCCAGTTCAAGAATAGCAGAGATTCTTGATTTTGATTAATTTAATAAACTGGATCATAAAAATGAATGTACACACATTGTATGACATTGTATACATGAAATTTAAACATGATCTATTAAAACATATCAAAGATATAAGTATGGATGTGCAGGAGTAAATCTACAAGTCCCTGTTTTAGAATTCAGTCCAAATTGAGGTGTGAAGTGCAGATAGAAATCTCTTTATTTTTTAGAATTAGCCTTGTAGAATTTAATTATAGATTTCGAAATCTCACTTACCTCCAACAGTACATTCAAGGTGAGAAGAATTGCATTGGTTTTTTGTAACTGGTTTGATAAATCATGGAAGTCACTGGTGGAGCGGCTCAGCTGACTGCTGACATCATTCTAGGTTTACAGAAATGATAAATACACATGTGTCAATTCAACTTTCACTCAGACGACATCGCAACCGACAAGATGGGACAATTGATGTACTTACAATTGAGATTTAGGCGAGGGTTCTCCGAACCCGCCTATTCACATAGTTCATACCCGGTCAGTCAAAATGACTATTTTGAACTGTAGGCATTAATCAGCGATTCTGCCGGTGACGGAGAGATAGAATCCAGGTCAGGGGAAGCCCATGATCTCAAGATTCTTTTACCCCTTACGTCACGAACCCACGTGACCGAGGCCACCTGGCAGCGCCACAGGTAGCCGTCCTT